TAAGAAATACCCAGATTAGTAATGGCCACCCTTTGTCAAAGCACAGGAATAAGAATGGGCAGCAGTTGGGCATGTGTTCCTCTTGTCATTTCAAAAAAAGCTCAAAACTTTTCCAGTTCCAAGTGCCTGGTTCACCTTCCCGGTCAGGTGGAAATCAGGGTCTTTAGAAGCAGCCACACTGATGGTTCAAGTGAATTCTTGTCAAAGATGGCACATCTTGTTTGACTCAACAGTTTTCCATTCGTGCTGTTACATATTTATCAGAACTCAGAAAGAAGATCTAAGATAGTTTTCATAAGTATCAAAGAGGCACAGGACTCCCCAGATTGGATCATCCTATTTAGGCTGAGTTGCTTTTCAGATGAGATTTTTCTCAAAGGTTGACATAGGCTTAAGTAAGCACTAGTAAACATTCTAGGTGGAAAGTTTCGGATACATTTGAAGGAGAAAGTATTTTATTCCAATGATAAGGAATGGAATGAGTATGGCTTGTTACGCAGCACTAGTAAACAACTGGAGACCGTTGTAACTTTATGGGACATGGGTCAATGGGACTGCTTTTGTCTTGTTTAAGTTTAATGACAATCTTAGATTGTATGATCCTTACGGGATTCTTAAGTTCAATAATTGTTTTTGTTCAAGAAGGCTTTATCAGTAACTTTTATGAATTTATTTTTATTATTATTGCTTGCTTTTAAGCCAGAAATGGGTTTCTTTTAAGGTTTTATTTATTTTCCCTTAGTTAATTTTAGATTTAGCTAATTAATGGTGTTATTGTGACTGATTTTTAATTCTAAAAAATCTCTTCACCAGCTATTCATTTTAAACAGTGAATACCTGTACATATTAATGACTGAAAAACAGAAAATATATTTTGGATATGTAGCCTAAAGTGGTCTCTGAGTTTTAGGATGTGAATTCCTAGTGGCAGAATGCCATGCTGTGTGCCACACTGTCTCCTGGCAGTGCCGATTTCAGTCACCTGGCCTCTTAGTAGTTTGGCACATCCCTGGCCCTGTGCTGTTTGATAGGATCCCTGTGCTCACTGGGACACGAGGAAAAGTCTTCACTTCCCCAGCAAACCTCTCAATTCTGATTCTTCCAAAATACACTTCCTTTTTGTGATATGAGTCAACAGAAAAGTGAGATTGGATTATGGGATTCTGTGACCACTTAAGCTTACATGAATATAGTTTGAGCCATTTCCTGGATTGATTGTACCAGAAATAACCGAAAAGCACACCTAAAGCATAGAGCGTTTTGTTTTGTTACAGGAATACAGAATATGTTCATTTAAAAATGAATGGACATGCCAATTGCATCTCCATAGGAGATAAATTTTATATACTTTGGTGTGTTTTTTTCACTATGGATTTTTACTTATTTCTTCCACTTCTTTTCTGTCATTCTGTGTCCTCTTGTCTTTTATATTTCTTTTGTACTTGTATGAGGCAAAGCGTCCACATCTTGGATCTTGAAATGGAACCATAACACTGTCTCTAGGGTCCTCTGGGAATTAGGAAACATTGGAGCTATTGGCATGTTGCATAACATACTTCCTAGAATTGTCACGCGTTCAGCCATTTTGTGGCTATATTTTCCTTTCACAGGTGAGTTCTATCTGTGTTAGCTAAGATCCTGCCCTTCCATCCTCTTCAGGATGACTCAGCCACTTACTGTTTTGAGTTTGCATTAAAGCTCTTGAACCTTTCTTGTCTCAATAAGCCACTCTGCTCCAAAGTCTGCAGTCACTTCTTAGCCCTTATCAAATGCCTATTTTGTGTCTTTCTCTGAACCTTGCTCCTACTTCTCCCTAGTAGGGAGATCGGTTTAAGTTTCTTCGGTCTTTCAAGACCCTGACACTAAAATCTTAAAACTAAGGTCTATTTCACTGTCTTCTTTAAATCCTTATGAAGCTTCAACTCTGTACTAAAATTCTTATACCAAATCATATATTGTCTTGTACTGTTCTTAGCTGCTACATGTATGTTAGTTTTGTTTCCCTCATGAGAATGTAAGCTCCTTAAGGGCAGGGACTATGTCTTAATTTTTGTATCCACCACAGTGCCTAGCACTGTGCTTGGCACATGGGTGCTGAATAAATACTTTGTTTATTGATCAGCAAACTATTATCTTGTATTTTTAATTATGAAAGAATCACTGTATATGTTTCCAAAGTTGTACCTAGTTGCTGAGGTTTAGTATTCTTTCTGGAAACAGGATGGAACAAAACTGACCATGATTGAGAACAATGATTTTGTGGCTTTGCAATCCAAGGTGACCGAGAGCTGGTATAGTTATGATCAGACCAGGTTGTTATTTGTACAGACTTGACTACCTCAAATAAGAGTGAAGTGTGTCTGACAGATCTTTTGGAGGAATAACCAGGATATTCTTTTGAATGCTTAGTGAGTTAGCTTCTCAATAAGAAAGCCACTGAACCACAAGAGGGTTTTTTTGGAGGGGCAGCAGATTTCAGACTGCCACTGAAGGCTTGTGAGCAACATGTAATGAGAGATTGAAGTTTTCAACTCTGATTACTTTATCATTGAGGCTGCTGAATAAATGGGTTACCAGGAATGAGTTCCTTATAGAAAGAAGTGTTATGTTTTACCTTAAAACAAAACAACAAAAAACCCCCTCCGAACCAATATTTTAAAAACACCAAGATTTTTGTTTTGCTTTTCTTGTTCTAAAGAAAAAGAGTGGCTTGCATGATAACTGTTATATTCGATTAGTGGGTGCTTCTAGATGAGGGAACTGTTGGGGTGGGGGATGGCTCCAGAGGTAATAACACCACCAAGCCTAAAGCCTGGAGTTCAATCCCTAGGCCACCACATAGCGGACAGAGAGAAGCAACTGCCCTAATTTGTTCTCTGACCTCCATTTCCCCTCTCTCTCCTGTCTCTCTCACACACACATACACACAAAATCAATGTTCTTTTTGTTTTGTTTTGTTTTGTTTTGTTTTTCGAGACAGAGTTTCTCTGTGTATCCCTGGCTGTCCTGGAACTCACTCTGTAGACCAGGCTGGCCTTGAACTCAGAAATCCGCCTGCCTCTGCCTCCCAAGTGCTGGGATTAAAGGTGTGCGCCACCACTGCCCGGCTATCAATGTATTTTTTAAAGAGGTATTTTACTTACCAAGAGGTGATTTCACTCACTTAGATGACCTATTGGACTCTTGTAATTTAGGAATCTGATACTCCCACATTAGGTTGCTTGGAATGTGCAACTGCCTATTATTTTATTTCCTCAGGGTCCATAACTTGACATAAGCTACTTTTCTTTGTAGGGGTTTGATTGCCTTCCTTAATCAACACAGGGTGGGGGGGTGGGGGTGAGGTGCATGGAAAACATGTCAACTTATTCTTTGTAAGACTTAGTTTTACTATTTAAAATTATATGTACTTCTGTGTATATATAGGTATGTGCACAAAAGTTGGGGTTACCTTGAGGCTAGAGGTGCAGGATCTTCTAGAGCTGGGGTTTCACAAGATTGTGAGCTGCCTGACATGAATGTTAGGGAAAGAATTTGAGTTCTCTCTCTAAGAGCAGTAAGCATTCTTAACTCCAAGCCCTGTCTCCAGCCCCAAGTCAATATATTCTTAATACACATCCTAAACATACCCAACATGGACAATTTTTTAATAACCACGAATTTACTGTCAGAAGCTAAATAAAAACTATCTGGGACTGGGGAAGTTGTTTTTTGCTTCCCAGATACATTTGTTAAGGTCATATTTAGGTAAGTATACAGAGAAGTTCCATGTCCCCATCTAACACAGCTTAAGTTTAGCGGACGTGGTTCATTTTGAATGGACTGATTTTATAAAAGATGAGGGTCGTTAACCCCATTCCTACTCAAATTTCCTGGTAAGCCTGGATGTAGTAAAGTTTCATGGGGGACCCAGACATTCTTCAAAAGGCTTTAAAGCATCTCAACAGGACCAAAGCCAAAGGCCACACCAGATTCCAGAACAGACAGATCCACATCTGGGGGTTGTTAAAAAAACAAACAAACAAACCAGGTCCACATACCAAATTTGATGAATATCCTTCACATGAGTTGAGAATTCTTGGGGGCCACGTTCTGTACAAGAAAAGATGGCTCAGCAGTTAAGAGAACTTAGCCCAGGTCCCCTAGGGATTCCAAATACTCACATGAAGGCTCACAACTGACAATAACTCCAATTCCAGGGAATCCAACACCCTCTTTGACCTCTGTGTGAGTACTGCATGCAAGTAGTGCAGAAACATACACTCAAATAAAATGCCCACACCCTTCCAAAAACGAAAAAGCAAAGCTAACCATTGATTTTGAGCCTGTCTTTCTGTGTTGAATTAGCAAAGCATCTAAGAGCTTGCAATTGGAACAGGAAGGAAGAACTGGTTATATACAAGTTTTCTGCTGGAGTAGTGAATAATCCCACTGACTAAGGTGTTTCTCAATAGGGCTGAAAAGCTGTGTAAAGAATGAGAATCTGGTAGGAATGACTGGGACATGAGTTAAGGGAAATTTTAGTTCCACTCAATTTAGTTTTTTTTCTCTTCTGCTTATATTCTTTGAGCCTATCACTTTGTGAGGAAATTTCATGATATTAGAATCATAGAATTCACCTTTCCGTAATTTAAGATACTCACTAGTAACATTTTCAAAATTCTTTGCAGCATCCGAATAATTTTAGTCTCAGAAATTTTCACTTTCTACATTTTCTTCCTTTAAAGCGTGACTATTGTTGGAGGACTAGATGGGACACTCATTTTTATTGGAAAGAAATAGCTTTGGTATAACGAGAGTCTAGGAGGACAACGTCATTACGCAACAAGGTCCCGTGGAACCGCATAGCTATCGTACCCTGTTGTTACTCGGACCGTTTTTTAGGTCACACCTCCGGCCTTGCTCTCACAGGATGTAAATGCTACCCAAACCCACAGCGCATGTTGGGAATTGCAGTTCCTTTCTTCAAGTCAGGCGGTGGCTGTGAGGTCATCGGTGGTCGCCCGACACGCCTGCACGTGGCGAGAAAGGGGCGGTGCGCGCTTGGAGTCCACAGCTGAGCGGAGCTGTCGGCGTGCCTGCCTCCTGCCGCGGTCCTCCCGACATGCCGGAGGAGGCGGGCCTCCCGCCCGCCAAGAGATTCCGGCCGGGCTCCTGCCCTCCCGGGAGGCGAGTAGTAATGCTGTTGACGGCTGGCGGCGGCGGCGGAGCAGGAGGAGGCCGGAGGCAGACGCCGCCGCTGGCCCAGCCTTCGGCTAGTCCTTACCGCGAGGCCCTGGAGCTGCAGCGCCGGAGTCTGCCCATCTTCCGGGCGCGAGGGCAGCTATTGGCTCAGCTCCGAAACTTGGACAACGCGGTCCTCATCGGTGAGTGGCCACTTTGGTGGCCCTTCCTTGCTCTAGATCCCTGGTTCTATGAGGGCAGTTTTTCTTAGGTACTTCTCACTTTCTTTGCGTTGGTTTCTTCAACAAACTTGAAAGGTTTTCAGTGCCAGTCGTGGACAGGGACCTCTGGAAAGAGGCGGACAGTTATCCTTCTGGCGCTGACCACACTGTTCGAGTTTGAGGATAAAGACTCACCTTCCGGGACGGGGTGTGGGGGGCATATTGAAGATTCTAAGAGAGCTTTGCACAACGGGCCCCACTAAGGCGTTTGAGGAGGCAGCTGCGGTGCGGGTCCCCGGGTCCCTGGGGACCGTCATTCTATGTAGCGATGGAGAAACTGGCTACCAGAAAGAATTCAGTTACCGAGGACCAATTTCTTGTGTACTAGAAGAGCTTGGCAGCAGTGTTCGACGGCAGGGACTGATTTCAAGTGGCTTTGCTACAGTGTTTAAGATAGAGGAGTTCCTGAAGGAATGTCATAAGCAAGAAAGAGACTGGAGTGCTGGCAGTCAGTGGAATAGACATTTGCTGGGATGGGGGAGTGCACGTTGCATGTGTAGTATCGGTTACAGCTCCTACTAAGAATTTTTTCAAAAGAACTTTAGGAACAGATCTGCATTGGACTGGGGAGTAATTAGGAATCGAAAGAATGAAGACAGTGAAAATAGGTTCTGCTTTGGCCAACCGAGTGAAGCTGAGGAACTTGTAGATATTTACAGATTTTGACAAACTGAGCAGAGAGGACACTGAAGATAGAATAGAATCAATGGATCAAAGGTTAGGAAATGTAAGAGATGGGGAGTCCTGGGCATCAGGAGTTACGGAAAACCCACCTAGCACAGGAGAAAGCCTGGCTTGGGAGGCAAAAGCACTTGTAGCAGAGGAGTAGAGGGTAGTCACATTTGAGAAGATCCAAGAGTTCTGAGGAGAACAAAAGTCCCAGAGCCTCAAGTAGGCTCTTGGGGAGATGGAGACGGAAGATAGGCTGAAAAAACAGGAACAAGATGGACGGTAGAGCTGATGCCCAGGTGAGTTTTGTCCCTGTATTTGTATGGCTGGCATATTTTATTTTAGCAATAGTCAGTTGCCTTGGAATAGGAGTGGGAAAGATGCACGAGAGACACTGATCTACATCTGAGGTCGTGTGGAGGATTCCGCAGGAAAATGCAGGCTAATCAAATTCTTCGTCTGAGATCCTTAGCTGAGTCTGGAAAGATGACCAGTCAGAGACAGGCTGGGAGCTGGAAGAAAATGCAAGACTCATAGACCTGGAGGATTTCTATTAAAGAGGATAAGCCATAACAAAGAAGGATGTTCAAGTTTCCTGAGTTCCTCTAATCAGGTGCTTTTTCAGATACCAACAGACATATATAGGAAACAGCCTTCATTGAGTGCTTGCTCTATGCAGTGTTCAAGCCTCTGAAGAGACCTCTGCCCTCTGGAATTAGAGGGCAGAAACATTTAAGTACTTTGGTACCCTTTGGAATGATCAGTGCTAGAAGAGAGATTGACAGGCACTAAGGATCCCAGAGATGAGGCCCACTAGTACAGCCTGGAGGGTGAGAACTTTCAGGCTGACTCATCCTTAACTTGTCAGTTAGTGAAGACAGGTAGGTATTGTACCCATAATAGGGTAGACAGACAGAGTCAGAAGGTTTGAAGAGAGCAGCAAGCAGTAGCCAGAGTAAAGGGCAAGCAATATATGAATGGACATCTTGTCGTATCAGTATGTATCAAGATATATGACTGTCATATTTCATTTTCTGTTGTAACTATACCAGTTACCTACTATTGTACATGTTTCCAGTTTTGTTTGGGCTTTTTACTTTGTTGTTTTTCATTTTGTTTTTGCTATCATGGGGCAAATTAAATTAAAACACCTTTGTTTTCTTAGACTCAATTTCTGCAAGTAGAATTTTGAGCCAAACCATATAAACATCCTAAAGTTTAGCATATTTTTATTGTTTGTTTATTTGTTTGTTCGACAGTCTGTCTATTATGTAGCTCCGGCTGTCCTGGAACTGACTGTGTAGACCAAGCTGGCCTAGAGCTCAAAAAGATCTACCTATCTCTATCTGCTGTGGTTAAATGTCCATGTCACTATGCTCAGCCCATTCTAAAGGTTTTTGAAATGTAATTGGGCCTCTTGGGAAACAGTGGCAATGACTCTGCACCAGCAATGTTCCTGGGTGCCCATTTGCCTGAGGCTTAGCAACTCAGTATTTTCTTCAGTGGTTTTGTTTTTCCTGACTTTGAGCTGTTTATTTGATGAGTTTACCTTAGTCTCATTTGAATAAGAGTTTCTGTTCTCTCCTAGGGGAAACTGGCTCTGGGAAAACAACTCAGATCCCACAGTACCTCTATGAAGGGGGAATTAGCCACCAGGGCATCATTGCTGTGACCCAGCCCCGTCGAGTGGCTGCCATCTCCCTTGCTACCAGAGTCTCAGATGAGAAGAGGACTGAACTCGGGAAGCTGGTACCTCATTGTGTTACTTAACATGAGTACTGTTTAAGTAACTACCACCTACTGTGCTCCTCCCTTTTATTTTTCTGAACAAGTTCTTTCTTGGCCTCCACCTCCCACCCACATTGTTAGGTTGACTCAGAAGTTCAATACGTAGCACAGACTGGCCTGGTACCTGAATCCTCAGTCTTCTGCCTTAGCCTCCTCCTGCATGCTAGAATTGCAGGGGTGTGCCACAATACCCAGTCAAGCAGCGTGCTTCCTTTAAGTAAAGCCGCTGCTGTTTATTAAGAGTCACTGAGAGATCAGTGACTCTTAGTACTATTAGCTTTGATTTCACAGGTATTGGCAAGCTCAGTAAATTAGATGTGGATTCTCTGGTTTAGGTGTGTGTGTAAACACTTTCATGGTGCTGGAGGTTGAACTCAGGCCCTCTCACATACTAGGCAAGTGCCCTGCTGGACCTTTTACCCCTAATTTATGTGTTTAAGACTTCAGGCATGTCATTTTTGTTTGTTGGTTTGTTTTGAGTTCTTAGTGATGTTTCATTACACTGTTTCTCTACAGATGGACCACACTCCTGAGAGAGTGGCCAGAGTGCTGTAGGTCTCAGTTTACCACACTGCTGAGGACAGTGCTGGATATAGTCAACAGGTATTCAGTAAATGTTGAATGAATAAAGGAGTCATATTTTCTCACAGGTTGGCTATACAGTACGCTTTGAGGATGTCACCTCAGAAGACACCAGGATCAAGTTCCTGACAGATGGCATGCTTCTGCGTGAAGCAATTTCAGACTCCTTGCTTCGGAAGTACAGCTGTGTCATTTTGGACGAGGCTCATGAGCGGACTATCCACACAGATGTCCTCTTTGGAGTGGTGAAGACTGCACAGAAGAGGCGAAAGGAGCTAAGGAAACTGCCTCTCAAAGTATGTGGGCAGTGTTTAAGGACCATGCCTTTCTTCCCAGAGTGTCTTCTCCTGCCCATTCTGCTTCAGGCACATGGGAGAAAGTTCACTCTGGTGGGAGCAACAGGGGCCTCAATCATGTTTTGAGCATTTATAGACAGGCTGTCCAGTGCTCACTTCCCTTCCTCCTCATTTTCTGTAGGTGATTGTGATGTCAGCTACCATGGACGTTGACCTGTTTTCTCAGTATTTCAATGGAGCCCCTGTCCTCTACCTTGAGGGTCGGCAGTATCCGATCCAGATCTTCTATACCAAACAGCCTCAGCAGGATTACCTGCATGCAGCTCTTGTCTCAGTCTTCCAGATCCACCAGGTATGGAGAGGGAGGAAAATCCCTGGCAAATTCTGTTTCCCCTTAGAGTTGATAGTGAGAATAGTTAGCCTCTGAAAGAAAAGCCACGGAATCTGACGGCTTTGTGAATTGTATCATTAAGAATAGACTCATTTGCAGGCCAGTGAGAGGTCTAGAGGGTAAGGTGCTTGGCGCTGAGCCATGACCTGATTCTAGTCCAGGGATCCTCATGGCCAAAAGAAGAAGCAACGTGCAGTTTTCCTCTGCCCTCCACATACGCCACACACACAGATAAATATGTATGATAAAATGATCCTTTAAAAAGGCTCATTTGCTACATCTGTTTTTGCCTCTTTCTTAGTTTCTCTGAAAAAAAGAAGATAACTCAACATCAGCAGCCATCCTCCTCTGAGCCAGAAAGCTCTTCTATGTTAGAAGAGTGGTCCTTGTGCCTTTCTTTATATCAGAACCTGTGGGGGGAAAGTATAGTTTATGTTGCAACCCAGTATGCTGTATAAGTATATTTTGTCTTGTCATGTAACCCAGGCTGGCTTCCAGCTTGTTGTGTTCCTGCCTAGGTTTTCTGAGTGCTGGAATTACAGGTATACACTGCCACACATGTCCTAAGGTGTTCCAAAACTTTTAGATATTGCAAAATATCTTCTAATTTTATTAAAAATTTACGTTTACATGTGAACGATCAAAGGCTGGAGAATGGCTCAGTGGGTAAAGGGTTTGCTAAAGAAGTGTGAAGACCTGGTTTAGACCTCCAGCACTACATGAAGTCATGGCGATGTGCATCGGAAACTCAGTGATTATCAGGGAGGGAGGGATGGAGACCATTGGAACCCTGGAACTGGCAGGCTGGCTAGCTTTGTGAGCACTAGATTCAGTGAGAACTCCTGTCTCAAAAATAAGATGGAGAGTGGTGGGTAAAGATTTGATTTCTGACCTCTATGCATGACGCACGTGAACATATGTTTACAAAAAAGATTGTGAATGATTAAATCCTATTGTTTTAGTTTGATTTGTATAGACTTTTTAATTTTTGTATTAATTTCCTATGAAAATCTAGAGGCAAACAATTTTTATTTTAACCTAAGTATTGCTTATGTAGTTCAAAGTTTTAGAAAGCCAACAGTTGGTCTGGGCATGTAGCTCGGTCTGTAGAATGATGGCCTATCATGCTTGAAGCCCTGAGGTTGATCCCCAACACTGTATGGCAGCACTGATGGAAGGTATAGGGAGGAAGAGTCCAGGGCCATCCTACCCGACGTAGTGAGCTTGAGTTCAGTCTGGGCTATTTGAGAACTAGACTGAAAAAAAAAATGGTTTAGTTTAACAATGTCAGTTTAAAACAGCAATTGAGCCTGGCAGTGGTAGCACACGCCTTTAATCCCAGCACTTGGGAGCAAAGGCAGGTAGATCTCTGAGTTTGAGGCCAGCCTGGTCTACAGAGTGAGTTCCAGCCGGGAATAAAACTGGAGACTCGGCAGTTGCTGTGGAAGTTGCTTTTGAATTTTAAAATAGCCGACGTATGTTCTACGTATGTTCTACGCATGTTCTACGCACGTTAATGTTTCTTGATTTGTCGTCACTCGCCATTGCATGCTTATTTCTTAAAATAATAAGCCAGGAATACGATGTCCTCCTTCCCAAGCCTCCTGTGTTCACCGTCCTTACAACATAGCTGTATCATAGCGGTCTTTATATCTGGCGTCAGTAATTACACCATTAAGAGGATACATTGTTAGCAGCCCTCAGTCCCCTTCCTGGACTGACCAGTTTGGGCAAGCCTTCAGTGTGACACATGCTGCATTGTGTCTTGGGTGGCAGTCATGAAATTTGTTGTGTGCAGCCTGTCTCAGTCACTTGTGCCGCCCTCCACCTGGAGCAGTTGCTCTGCCAAACGTCCCCCTGCTGTTGTACACCTTGCCCATGCTAGACCCCTGCTCTACACTGAGCCACAGACTCCATCCACATTTCTTGTCACTAATCTCCTTAGCAGCTGTCCCCTAACCAGCCCCCTCCCCCTTGTCTTCCATCTTTCCAAACTGATCTGAGCCTTCTTGTCTCTCGTCTTTGTCATTTTAGGGCAGTGATTTTTTTTTTCCTTCTAAGGGATGGAAACAGTTATTTTTACTGTCAATTTGGTAATGTTTGAAAGAGAAGAAAAAGCCACCCTGCCTCCTTTGAACTGCCTCCTTTGAGTTGCCAAAAGCCAACTTCAGAAGAGAATTTTTTTAGAATTTTATTTTAAAAGTGTATTGTGTAAGGGGACTGTGTATGCACATGTGTGTGTGGTATGTGTTGCAGGAAGGGCAGAGCACACACAAAAGACAACTTTATGGAGCTGGTTTTCTATTCCCACCTTTACATGGGTCCTTGGGCTCAAATTCATGTGACCAGCAAATGCCTTTACCCCTGCGCCAGCTCACAGTAAGCTTCCAGTTCAGTGAGAGATCCTGCCTTGGGCAGACAGGTGAAGGAAGTCACCTGGTATCGTCTTCTGACCACACGTCAGTACGGGAACACACACTCCATGTACACACCACACTCACAAGAAAAAGAAGGGAAAGAAGCTCTTAAAAATTATTTTTTGTGTGCTTGCTTCAGCAGCACATATACTAAAATTGGAGATTTTAAAATACAGAGATTAGCATGGCCCTGTGCAAGGATGACACGCAAATTCATGAATCCTTCCATGTTTTGGTTTGTTGGTTTGTTTGTTTGTTCGACAGGGTTTCTCTGTATAGCCCTTGGCTGTCCTGGAACTCACTCTGTAGACCAGGCTGGCCTTGAACTCAGAAATCCGCCTGCCTCTGCCTCCCAAGTGCTGGGATTAAAGGTGTACGCCACCACTGCCTGGCGCATTCCATGTTTTTAAGCTGTGAACTGAAAAAAAATTCTTTTTTGCATTTATTTATTCATTGTATATATGGTAGGGTGTGGTGCTCAAGTCCCGGTGCCTGTGTGGAGGTCAGAGAACAGCCTTGGGGAGTTTCCTTCCCTCCACCATATGGGTCCTGGGAGCAGACTCAGACCAGCAGCCTTGGCAGCAAGTGCCTTTTCTTCCCCCCCTGAGCCATCTCACCAACCTAAAAGAATTTTTATACAGAATTCCCTTACCTCTGATTGGCCTTTCGTTGTATTGTCTTACAAAAGCAGTTTCCCTTCAAAACTTCCTTACCTGGTTTCCTATCATAGTTGGCTGGCTCTCATGTTAGCAGCTCTGTATATTGCTGGTAAGGATCTTTTCCCAGGGAGATACCAATGTCAGACTTGCTTCATCTTCATAATTAAAGAGTGAAACAGAAAATAAAAACCCTATTGGAAATATCACCATCATAAATACTCTCTTTCTAGGAAGCTCCCTCTTCTCAGGACATCCTGGTGTTCCTCACTGGTCAGGAGGAGATCGAAGCAATGAGCAAGACCTGCCGAGACATTGCAAAGCACCTCCCCGACGGCTGCCCTTCAATGCTCGTCCTTCCTCTGTACGCCTCCCTGCCATATTCACAGCAACTTCGAGTCTTTCAAGGGGCCCCAAAGGTGAGCGAGCATGTCACCTTTCTGCCAGCCAGATCGCTGGGCATCAAGTCAGATCTGTCCATGTGTACCATGATCCAGAGAAGGTGGAAGGAGGAGTCCTCAGGTACCAGGTCAGCTGAGAGGGAGAGCGCCTGTAAGGAGGGGAGCGGTTGTCAGGAGGAAGGAAGGCATAAAGGTATAGATAGAGGCTGAAAGGTGAATGAGTGGCTTCTGTAAGCACTGCTGTAAACTCATTGCCCATAAACCATTTGTTGGGTGCCAGACACAGTGCTGCCACTCACACAGGCCACTTGTCATCCTCATGGAATGCCATGAGGGACACCGAGGCCCCCAAGAAGAGAGGAAGGAATTGTTTAAGACACACAGTAGGGCCAGAATTCCAACTTCTCTCTATCTCCTCTCCTTGAATCTTTAGCTTGTTCCAGTACACATTATTGCCTTAAATTAACCTTCAGGACCTCAGTGAAACCACCAATGTCTTCCCTTTCCTTTTGTCCCTTACCAAGTTTAAGATCTGAAATTAATATGACTACTATTAACAATGAAGTCACCTTTTCTTGATCATAAGCAGGTTGTGGAAATGCATGGTGAGAATGTCTTCAACTTCCAAATCATGTGAGTCATACGGCTTTTTGGTTCTCTTCTTCCTTTTAGGGCTATCGCAAAGTGATCATTTCAACCAACATCGCTGAAACCTCCATAACCATTACAGGAATAAAATATGTAGTTGACACGGGCATGGTTAAAGCAAAGAAGTATAACCCTGGTGAGAAACTGGAGCTCATGAATGTTTCCTGTACAGTGACCAGCGGTTACAACTGTAACCCCACCAATTCCTCCCAACTAAACATCTCATGTTTGTGAGGAGCTAAGATTCAAATGACAGAAACAGTTGGAGACCTGATGAGGCAAGAAGTCAGAGAACGAAGAACTCAGTTGTAGAGAACCTGAGAAGGACAGATCAGGGCCTGGACTGAGGTCTGAAAGCCCACTGGAAGCTGGCTGAGAATGCACTGGCATTGGTCACAGACTCTCGAAGGGCCACTGAAATGTGTCTGCTGTGTACTTTGAGGTTTCCCAGGAAGGAGACAGGCGCTCTGGGCTGGAGTAGCAAGCACAGAGGGAAGCACTGGCTGTCTCTTGCAAGGGTCAAGCTGGCTTGAAGTCAGCTTTACACATTTCTGATTCATACCTTGCTTTAGTCTGCAGAGGAATTGGGGCTGCTGCAATTATTATAGCTACCCAATATTTAATTGGCATTGTCTACTAAACACTGGAGGTGTTTCACGACATGGTGGCAAAGTGTAGGTCTCTAGTTCCTGGCACAAAATATTTCTGTTCTTGAGTGAATTGATGTCTTTTACTTCAGGGAAATAAATGTCACATGATCTATTTTCTTATAGAACTTGGAGGGAGGATAAAGAACCCTGCCATCATTGGCTGATATATGGCCAGCCTTTTCATTTAGCTAGAAACTATCTCAGCACCAAAATCCCCAAGAAACCCTCAGTGCCAGGCAGCAGGGATACTTGGCCATCCTATGATGTAAGCCCGAATTTCTAAAGCCATTCTCCTGCTCCCTTGCTTGCAGAGGGTGTTGTGATATGTTTCTTAACATTTCACACATGGCTCATTGTTACAGAGTTCAATTTCACCATGAGGTTTAAAGTGACTGAGCAACCTGGGTTTGTGCTTTCTTGTTTAGCCTCGAGTTTTCCCTGACCCCTGTGTTACAGAAACACTCAGTGGTACTCAGCATCATTTCTTCTTGCCAGCACTCTAGAAACAGTTTGCTTATGTGATGAAGCAAAGCACTCATGGCCTTTTCTCCCTGCAGACAGTGGTCTTGAGGTACTAGCTGTACAGCGAGTATCAAAGACACAGGCCTGGCAGCGCACAGGCAGAGCTGGACGAGAGGACAGTGGCATCTGCTACCGACTCTACACTGAAGATGAGTTTGAGAAGTTTGAGAAGATGACGGTGCCAGAGATCCAGAGGTAGGTCCAGGTTGCACCTGCACTGTCATGCATCCTGCTCTCTCCTGGGCTGAAGCTTTCACTAATGCTTTCTGGGGGGCAGTTTTTGACTCAGTGGAGTCAGGGACAAACAAATGACCCTCATTTCTTCCTTCATAGGTGTAACCTGGCAAGTGTGATACTTCAGCTTCTAGCAATGAAAGTTCCAAATGTGCTCACCTTTGACTTCATGTCCAAACCATCTCCAGGTAAAATGGCAGGCGGGCGGGCGGGCGGGCAGGCAGGCAGGCAGGCAGATAATACAAAGGAGTTCTTACCCAGGAAAAGTACCTTGAGTGGAAAAAAAGAAAAAAAAATTGGTCCTGCTCTTTTGCTGATTTGATTTCACTCGTCATGCAGTGTAGGTTGCATGTTACAGTGCCATTGTGCAGAGACAGGGAACACCATCGTTAGGCGTCCGTGGATGCTCCTGAAGTCCAGCGAAAGGGCAAAGACATCATATCTCTTTGCATTAAACTGGGATTTGACTGCTTCCTGCCCTTTGTTGGTAATCACTGTGCTATTTCCCTCTTCTTTAAGGAAATGCAGTTGTAAATCAAGAGGGTAAACTGTCAATAGGTGACCCAGGTCGCACTCTGAACCTCAACTCAGTTCTTCTTCCAAAGAGACATTTTCTGGCTCTTTTCTATGCAAAAGTCTGTGGAAGTGCGAATGTATAAATCTTTAAGAACACAAACTGCACATAGGATACAGTTCTACACTGTATTTTTTTTTAATTCCTAGAAAGGAATAATAAATATCAAGTATAATGGTAACATAGCCAACATCTGTGTGACACTACCCACACCATGGAAGCCAAGCCCCTGGACCTCTGCCTAGCCATTACCGCCCATACCCCCTCTTGGTAACTGCTCTCTCATGACTATTTTATACATCTTTTGCTCTTTGGTGTGTCACTAGGCTTAGAACAGTGTGAGGACAATGGTGGGTGGTCCTGGTGTTTGTAGAGCCGGAAGCACTCAACTAGCTGCATCTTCTTCCTGTTTTGGACTTCTGGCTCCTTTTTATGTCTCTGTTTCTGTAGATCACATCGAGGCGGCCATTGCCCAACTGGACCTGTTAGGTGCTCTTGAACATAAGGATGACCAGCTTACCCTGACTCCAATTGGAAGAAAGATGGCAGCATTTCCTTTAGAGCCCAAATTTGCCAAAGTAAATGACCCCTCCTCCTCATTGCCTTTTCTCTGCTTTACAGGTTAGGACATGCCTAAGCCCAGTGCTTCTGAACTAACCTTACTTGTTCTCTCAAAACTGCACATCACCCTCCTCTGTACAGTGCTGACTCGGGTTGTGTGTGAGACTCAGACGTCAGTCACAACCCTACCCACAAAGATTTGGAGTCTTGTGGGGATGGCATCTTTCTGTTTTACAAAGACATGAATGGCATTGACACAGCATTATGGTCTTAAAGACACCATACTCCTTTAAGGGAAGCTGCAAGAGAGTATACAGAAACACTATTCAGAAGGTAGGAAACTTGACACATCCATTTTAAATTTGACTTTCCAGACTATCCTCCTGTCCTCCAAATTCCACTGTACAGAAGAGATTCTGACCATAGTCTCCCTGCTGTCTGTGGACAGTGTCCTTTACAACCCTCCTGCCCGGAGAGATGAGGTGCAGAGTGTCCGGAAGAAGTTCATATCCAGTGAAGGGGATCACATCACCCTGCTCAATATCTACCGAACCTTCAAAAACATTGGGGGGAATAAGGTGAGCCTCCCTCAGGCCTCAGGCCTGGGCTTTTAAGTATGTCTTTTTATGGCCAAATCGTCTTAAAGAGTCTCTGTCTGTTTGTCTGTCTTTGTCTCTGTCTCTCTTCCTTTCTCTCTCTCTCTCTCTCTCTCTCTCTCTCTCTCACACACACACACACACACACACACACACACACACACGTAAGTGCTGGGACATCACTAGAAATGTTATTTCAGGTGTTTGTTTTTGTGTTTAATAGATTCTGTGGACAGGTTAATTGAGTAATTAAAGACTATCTTAGCCACTAGAATTATCCCCTTTTTAGGAGGAGTGGGGAAAGGTACGAGGGCTCTCTTGTGTTCCTGGCTGGCCTGGAGGCTAGCCTTGAATGAACAGATACCCACCTGCCCCTGCCACCCCAGTACTGCGATTAAAGGCATGTGCTGCTACACCCAGCTCCAGCCCATTTTTCATTACTGTAAAGAAATACTTGAGGAAGGCCATTTTATAAAGAAAAGAGATTTCTTTTGTCTCACGTTCCAGACTGGTAAGACTTAGAGGTCTTTTTTTTTTTTTTTTTTTTTTTTGGTTTTTCGAGACAGGGTTTCTCTGTGTAGTCCTGGCTGTCCTGGAACTCACTTTGTAGACCAGGCTAGCCTTGAACTTAGACATCCGCCTGCCTCTGCCTCCCAAGTGTTGGGATTAAAGGCCACCACTGCTGGGCAGACTTAGAGGTCTTATCTGGTGCTTGAAGATAGAAGATAGAACATAGCATCACACAGCAAGAGAAAGGCAGTGTGTCTGGACTCTTCCTCTTCTGCTAATTAGGGGCCGATGGGGATTCAGTCATGGGGCTCCGTCTTTTTGGCCTTATTTAAACCTAGTCATTTTCCAGATTTTGTGTGTGTGTGTGTGTGTGTGTGTGTGTGTGTTTGCCTTTTTGAGTATCTAGGCACCACGTGCTTGCTGTTCTTGCGAAGGCTGGAAGAAGGTGTCAGATTCCCAGGGATGGTTGTAAGCTGCTGTATGAGTGCTAGGAATTGGGCCTGGTCCTCTGGAAGAGTGGGCAGGGTTAATCCTTGACTGTCTCTCCAGCCCCTTTGTTTTTAAAATTTGTTTTGTTTTTAAAACAGGTTCTCACTATGTAACTCCAAGGCATGGAATTTTCCTATTTAGGCTGAATTTCCTATGTATGCCTGCTTATTCCTATCAACTGCTAGGATTAATGGCATGTGCTACTATGCTTAGCTATTTTAAGTGGGGGTTGGGTTGGGTTGGGTTGGGTTGGGTTGGGTTGGGTTGGGTTGG